AGAGTGTTTTTCAAGAAGTTAAACTACTTGTTTAAATAAGATTTGGCTGTTGGGCAGTTCACAGATTGGGTAATGAGCAGACAGAGAAAGTGACATTAATAACTCTTAACCATGCTGAGGAATGGCTTGTTGTATTAGGAAGCTTAGGGCTTAATGCTTACAGGAGGAAATGACATAATTGAATCTAAACTGATTACCTGAAGCAAAGAAAACCAGTGAGAGTTCCCATTCCTACTTCTGTTCTGACAATGGTGTCCCTGCAGCTGTGAGGATGATTTATCAGCCTGTGAAGTGCCAGTGGCTATCACAAGTGTTGATGCAGTCAGATTTCTTTCAGACTGGATAGAAGATGCTCACCTGACTCCTTTTTCATTCTTCCTTTCACCAATGCCTATGTCTTGTGTTTGTGGCATTGTGTCTGTTGTTTAATCAGAGCCAAAGTTAAAAAAGCACCGCCTTGTGAGTTTTCAAGGGTTACCGAAATCAAGGACTCTGTTACCTGTGTGGAGAGCTGAGGTGCGCTTAGCTATAGGCTGTGCCCAGCAGGGTTTCCTTGGGGGAGTAAGTGATTGGCGAAGCCTGCTGACAGTTCTGGCCTCCAGTGTACCGACTGGTAAAATGCAGATGCTTGTGCAGGGGAGCCATTAACTGAGTGGCCAGAGTGGGATCCTGGGCAGCTCCCTGACAAAAAGGGGAGAGTGCAGTTCTCTTGCCTGACAAAGGTGAAAGGGTCCTTCAAGCCTTTTCATTCCTAGAAGCAGACAGGAGCCTAGCAAGATGCTGGGAACATAGAATTGAGCCACAAATAGCAAAATGGCAAACTTGCTTGGATGAGCAATATGGAATATTTTTTTTCCTTTGCCTCCCTTACCCTGATTATATCCCTTGATGCAAATTGTGGTGAACTTTACCGTGTTCCTTCCTGTGCCCCAGTCGTTAGGACTGTTTGGAATAAGGGTAGTGTGAGCTGGCTTTGTAAGTGTTGCGGATCATATCTGTATTTAACAAATTGCATTCTTTTAATGAATCTAAAAATAGAAGAAGGGGTTTTGTCTCTGCTGCTTTTTCCGTCTATGGAATTTACAAGAAAAATAGGACTGGAAAGAGCAAAATATTCTTGAGCAATGCATTACCCATGATAGGATTTCTGTAGGAGGGATTGCAAAGCTAGCCAAAACTGGGGGTGGAGGAAAATGTAAATGCTAAGAGTTTTTAATGCACTTCTTAAGCATAGAAATAGTAGTTAACTAGGAGATGAAATGGTACTATTGATTATTGAATTATCTTTGTGAAAGATAAATTGGTGCTCAGACGTTTGACAGCTGTCTCACATTTCAGACCAGTCCTCTGCCAGTCACCAGTCCTTCTACCCAGTCACAAGAAAGCACTGTGGATACCTCACTGAAAAAAGAGAAGCCAGCCATTTTGGATCTGTACATACCACCTCCACCAGCTGTTCCATATTCTCCTCGGTATGCAAATAAACACGTACTACTGAACAAAACTCTCCTTTATTACACTGGTTTCTGAGCTGGCTTGCTGCTAGAGTTCTGTGCAGATGAGCTTGAGGAAACTGCAGATCTTACAGACTTCTAGGTGTTTAAATGCATAAACTACCAGGATTGTAACAGGTTTTATTATTAGAAGATTGTGTGCCATGTGGATCAGAGTTCTACCCAAAACATGGATGAATGTCGCTCCTCATTGTGGGGTTATGTTTTTGATTTTGTTTAAGTCCACTTGCACACAACAAGAATTCATTTTTGTCTGTAACTTTTTCCACTGTGATGTGTGTGTTTGGTTGTTTGGGGTTTGTTTTTAGCAAGTTAAGTAACTGTTGTGGGAGTTAGGAGAGAGAAGTTTTAAATAGTTAAACTTGTAGGCTGCATAAAACAGGAATGTTCCCACTGAAGGGAAGGGAGAGTCAGTTCATTCAACTTTTATTATTTTATCCTTCAATGTAACCTTTAAAAATACAGACCTGTGTACACAGAAGGTAAAAATGCAGTGTGAGGGTTGTGTGGCATGTGTATGCTATGGCTAGCTTTTGTTTGTTCTTGAGTCCATGTTGACTCGTGTCAGAATCCTGCCAGCTGACCTGGAAAGGTGATGGACAAAAGAGTTTTCTCTCTCTCATGCTTCCTGGCCTGGCTTGACACTTTAGGTTACATGTAGATAGCCCAGCACAGAAACTATGACCCTTTGCTGCAGGGCTCATATGGAAGGAGAGCTTGCCTGCTGTCATTTAAGGCCTGCTACTCTGTCAGAGGCTGTATTACTGTAGTCTTTGGGGCAGTACTGGGGCTGCAGGACTCTTCAGGGTAGTCTCCTTGCTGAAGTTGGACCTAACTCTTCGTTTTCCAAGTTTATGCATGCTCACTTCTTACAAAACAAACCCAACCAAAATCTTGGCATAAAATCAAGCATATAGATTTAGCAGCTGAATTGAGCATGTCTTGGTCTTTATATTGTTACATTTTAAGTACATTGGTGAATTATGTGCATGTGCTCAGTTTGTTTATCTGTCTTAAAGTCACAAAATTATATGTAGCTTCAGATGCCTTTAGACCTGAATCCCTGTTGACAAGGAAGGAAGTAGCAGTGCAAGATAAAACTTGTCCTGGATGGTGTGTGGAGAGGGGGAGGCCTCTTGACAGACTTAATGAAGGCAAATGTGGGGAAGCTGTGGCAGCAAGGAAGAGGTGAAAGGACAGACATTTTGTCTTCTGTTTGGCTATTTAATTTCACCTCTGCATGTTTTTCTCTTTTGAAATGCTGATGCATTTGTGTGGCAGTTTTTCCCCTTTTTCCCTCCTATTGTCCTGTTCGCTTCCCTTCCTGGCATGGATCTTCTCTGGTTCACACTGGGAAGGCAGAGAGCAGTGGCTGGTTTCCCTCCCCACGGCACAGTCTCCACATGGTGGTGTTGTAGGAGAGCTCTCCTAGCACATATGGTTGTGATGTAACACTTCTGTGCAATTTTCGGTCCCTGAATCTCCATAAATAGCTCCCTCCCTTTCACTGAGCTCTAGCATTGTTATTGATGGAGAGCTAGAGTATGCTGTGTGCAGGAGTCTGTAGTGAATACCAGGGCATGTACATGCTTAGACAGTCAGCTGTGTATTTTTATGCCTGACTTGGCTGGTGGCTGCTTTAAGCAGTAAGATTGTAGCATGTATAGGGAAGGGGGAAAAAACCAGAGGCAAATCCTAATTTGGAGGGTAGCTTTTCTTCCAAAAGTACTTGGAAGGACTGGTTCTAAAAATGGATGTTCTTGGCGTTTGGAGTGAGGGATTGCTCTAGGAAGAGGGTTCCTGTGGAAATTGCTTGAAATACAGGCACAGCGTACATACACTATGAATTTATTACTGAAACTCTCAAGGGGGTCTCACTTTTGGATAAAGAGAGGAGGTGATAAATATTCAGTGGCAGTTATCGGCCTCTTACAATGAGTGAAAAGCACAGTCCCTCAGATGGAGGCGATAAGCGTTGCCATTACACAGAGATGGATGAATCTATGCATGCACTCCTCTGTCACAACTGTGTACTGAACAGGCAGTGAACTGCGAGCTTTAGTACTCTCAGTGCAGAAAAGTCTTATTTCTCAAAAGCTTTTTGTAAGGGGTGGTGCTTTGAAACATCTTTGTGTGTTAAATTACTGGGTCATTAAAAGTGAATTAGCATGGGGGGAGGAAGCTTTCTTTTCTCCTTGGTAAATAAGTTTATAATGAAGTTATGTATCACCTGACTTGGGTTATTATTTTTCAGCTTGTTTGCAGCCCAATACCAGTTGTCAGGAGCATGACTAGGTGCTAGACGTATCTTTCAAACCTATTCATGTCTATAGCATGAAACTCTTTTAAGCTACTAACTGAAGCGAAATGTCCTTTCAGAGATGAAAAGGGGAGTTTTGTATATGGAGGAGGCAACAAACCTAGTCAGCCACTACCTGGGTCCAAGGGCGCTGAGTCCCCCAATTCTTTTCTGGATCAGGAGAGTCGAAGGCGAAGGTTTACTATTGCCGATTCAAATCAGTTGCCTGTGTATCCTGTTGAAGCAAATATTCTACCAGCCAAGATGAGGGAAAAAACACAATCCTATGGTGAGTTCATTTCTCCTTCATCATTACTGTTATGATAAACGGTTTGGTCAATTTGGAATAATTTGTGCTAGAAAACTGCTTGTTAGACTTGATGGATATTAAGGGCAGTCTGTGCAAATCGTGAATGAAATTCGACATCTGAAATAATTGCACTTAGATGTTGTTATTTCTTTAATGAATGTCATTCAGCTAGTATCTGCTGCTACAGATGGCCATTTCCATGTGTATTTTGATTATAACTTTTGGTTATTACATTCACAGCTGCTGTAAATGAGCAAGACTGTGGCTGTTCAATCTCAGCACATTGTTTTCTTATATTTCAACAGTGGAAGTATCCTGAATTTTTTTTCTCTGCAATTTTAACTCCTTATTGTTGTATCTCTCCCTTTACTTAATTGTGAAAAGTATAATTTTAAAAATTGTTTTCCTAAACTTAATGTAATTCTTCATAACCTTCTATGTTGTCTTCAGGAAAACCTCGTCCTCTGTCAATGCCTGCTGATGGGAGCTGGATAGGAGCTGCAGAACCCTTCTCTAGGCCACGAGCACCAGGGAGAAAAGGCAAGGTTTTCAGTCTTGTCCCTCTTTCCTTTCATTCCTCTCCAAAATTTCTGTGGGGTGAATGGGACGGAAGTGTTTAAGTTAGGAATGAAGAATAAGTGTCTGCATATTGCTGAACTGATCCAAGATGACAGTTGTTGGTTTTAGCAGGCATGC